CGGTGGGTGGGGCCCGAGGGTTTCGGGGGCTCCCTGCCCCGTTCTCCGTGCAGGGGGGCTGCTGGCCGAGGCTTGCAAAGAGAGAGGCGATTTGGCACCTCCAGGACGTGCTCAAGGCTGGCCAGGGCTTTGGTCAAGAGGGGGGAGCAGGCAGACCGGGATGGCGCCAGAGAAGCCCTCCGGGGTGCCTGGCACTGCTCTGGGGAGCAGGAGCGGGTGGGGCTGGAAGGACGGCTCTGGGTGACACCCTCCCCAGTCATTCTGGCCCACAGAATCCACTTTGGGAGACCCGCTGGTGGCCGGCGAGCGTGGATGGATGCCCAGGAGATGCCGGCATATTCGCAGAGACGGTGGGTGATGTCCCTCAACAGGACTTGCAATGGGGCCGCCTGTCTGGAGGGATGGTGCCCCTTCCCACGAAGCAGGGGAGGCACCCAGTGGGGGGGGGGGCTGCAGAAATGTCAGCCACGTGGAGTGTCCAAGAACACGCCCCACGACTGGTGGGGAACGTGGAATCCCTGCTCACGTGGATTATGTCTCGCAAACCCCACTGGAGCCTTCTCAGAAAGATACGGGTTTTATTTGCAGTCTGTGGGATCTGAGAATTGGGGAGGGGGGGCAGCAAGGGGCATGGCGAGGCTCCGTAGAAGGAGAGCATGCCCTGGACCAAAGAGCGCTCAGGCCCACCCCTCTGTGGTGCCAGGCAGCACTCACCCCATTGCTCTGCCCTCCGTCGGTGGCCCACCTGAGCACCCCCCCTCCGGCCCGGCCTCGCTCGCTCCCCTTCCGCCCCTCCCGGGATTCTGCCTGGCCCAGGCTCCCCATGCCTTCCCCTGGCAAAGCGCCTGTGCCCCCCCCCCGTCGATCCCCGGCTTTCCTCCCCCAACCCAGAAAGCAATCCTCGATCTGCTTGGGGCTGCCCTGGGAGACTGTCCAGAGGATTCTGTGGGTGTGTGAATGCACGGCAGAGGATGCGGCGTGAGCGGGGCCCCTATTCCTGGCACCCTCTCAGCTGAAGGGAGCAGCCCTGCCAAGGCCCCCCCACCCCCGGGTCCTGCCCGCTGGACTGGAAGCGCCGCTCCGCCCGGCAGGCCTGGCCTGAGGTCGGCCGGAGGAGCAGCATCACCAGGCCCTGGCGGGGGCTGCCTCTCGGCCGCAGAAGCACCTTCCCCTGGAGGGTCCTGCAGGCTCCATCCGCATCTCATCGCCTTCCCGGGCTGACCGCCGTTGGAAGCAGCGGACTGGGTGCGTGGAGCCCGTCTTCTCTCGCAATGCAGCGCTGGCGGGCCAGGACCTGCCAGCAGAGCCCGGAGGGGCCGTTGTGGCGGGCACTGGCAGGGGGAGACTTTGCCGGGAAGGCGGCCGCGAGGGAGCCAGGGGGGCCCGAAGCGGCATCGGAGCAGGGCCGCCTCATCCCGCGTTCTGCTCCCAGAGCGGTCTGCCTGAACGAGGGCAGCCCTGCCACGAGCAGGACAGGAGTGCCACGGCACCCTGCCCCCCACGTTCCCCAGCAACTGCCGCCCGTAAGCTTCCTGCCTCTGATGCTGCAGCGGGTGCAGAGCCACCGGGCCCAGCAGCCACTGAGCGGCTTCCCTGCCAAGAGCCGTCCCTTTAAAGCCCTCCAGATCGGAGGCCGTCACGACACCTCCGGGAAAGCGACACCATTGCTGGAGGATGGGCCACGTGAAGGCCACGCCAGCCACGAGGAAGCGCGCCCGTGGCGGCGCCATCGCACTGGGGCCAAGCAGGAGAGCCTTCCCTCGCCCTCCGTGCTCCAGCGCCACCCCGGCTGCACCTCTGAAGGCAGCTCAGGAGCGCCTGAATGCGGCCCCCCAGAGTTGGGGCAGGGGCAGCCTCTCCCGACGGCACCAGTCCTGCAGCAGCAGCGCTGGCCAATGTGTTTCCGAGCCAGGCAGCCCCCGTTTCTGCCCCTGCTGCTCAGCGGGTTGCGCCCGAGCTCTGCCTTTTCCTGCCACAGCATGTCTGCAAAGCTGCTCTTCTTCACCGCCCCCAAGGATGGCTGGGCTGGCAGTTAACAAGGGAGGGGGCCTCCTTCGATGCGGCCCCACTTCTTTGCAGGTCTTCAGGAAAGCTCGAAAGACACACCTGTTTTCACTGGCCTTCTGGACCCTTTTAATAGCAAGCTTTTATTTCTGTTTAATTTTTATTGAAATGTGTTTTGTGGGCATAAAAAACCCCCCCATATCCTTTTGGGGTTTGGCTCTTGCCTGCCCCATCGGGAAGCAACCACTCTCAAAGGCAGCCGAGGAACCGGGACCGGCGAGGCAGCGCCCCAGCTCATGGCCCCCGAGACCAATGGCCCGGGGTGCCACCTCCCTTGCCTAACGTGGGGTGCTGGAATTCTTCCAACCCAAGGTCCCCCTCACTTCCTGAGATGCTGCCGGGGTCCCATTCCAGGAACGGGGTGGGGGCCAAGTCGAAAGGGGCCGTGCCAAACCGAGGCACACGTTTGCGCAAGCCTCTCGCTAGAGCCAGGAACACACGGTGGCCAAAGGAGGGCTCCAGCAAGCGCTCCAGGCAGCCCCGGAGGGCCGAGATGCGGACCCAGGCGGGCCAGGAGCCCCAGACCTGACACTCCCGGCTTAGAACTAGGGCAGCCCTGAGGCAGAAAGTGCCAGGAAACCCGCGGCCACAGGGCGGCAGGTTCAAGAGCAGCGTTGCCACCAAGGGAGCTTCTCCTCTGCCCCCCTTTGCCCCACTGCAGGGAGTTGGGGTGGCAGGCCTGCAGAGCACCTGGCCCCCGCTTCCCTAGCCCTCGATCTCCGCAGAGGGGCCCGTGTCCGGCTCGCTCTGGGTGGCTCCGAGTTGAAGCCACCGCTCCTCTGTGCACTGCCAAGATGACAGCAGCAGCCTCACGAGCCAACCTCCTTCCAGGGCTCGAGCTGCGAGAGAGACCAGGAAGCAGAAGGACTTCCTTGCAGAGCAAGCAGCTGCCATAATTTGCAAAAGTCTGGTAGACACTGGGTGAATTGTAGGGAACAAAGTCCGACATCCTTACCCCCGTAGGGTCCCAAAGAAAAAATTCTCTTGCACCCAATGCGTCGTTTAAAATTATTTCCACTTTATTATCTCGTTGATCCTTGCATTCATTCCCCTGAGCGCCACCATCCAGAACCCCCACAGTGCACTGGACTGACTCCGTGACAAATGACGAAGACGGGAAAGAACGGCCAAGCAGGGAAGAAGCGCGATGGCGGTGGGGAAGCTGCGAACACACGGAGGGGGAGATGATCGAGCGCCACCAAACCGGGACAGACGAGGGCGGGCAGCAGCCGGCCGGAAAGACCCAGGCATGCGAGTGCAGGCTGCCGCCGTCACCGCTCCCAGGGCGCGATTGTTCCCGCAGCGTGAAAGCCAAGTGCTCGCCGCATTCCACCTTTGGCGCGAGAGCTGAAAAGCGACGGCCTGCGCAGCAGCCACGTCCCGGTCCAGCCGCGCTCGGACCCCCTTTCCCACGGTCCTCTTCTGGAGGCGGCCCTGGCAGCAAAGAGGCCCCCCGCCGGCCCGGCTCTCGTGGCTCCGGCTGCCACCCTCCTCGGCGCTCGCGGCCTCGCAGCCGGCCCAAGCGCCGCAGAGATGGGCGTGGCGCATGGGGCCGGCGCCGCTTTGGTCACGCACGCAATCGTCCAGGAAGGAGCGTCCCGGCAGGAATGGGGACCCTGCCCGGCCACCACGGCCCGTCCCTGCCAGCGGCCGGCCGGCACGCCAGCACTGCCGCTCTGGCCGTGCCAGGACCCGTGGCCGGGCGGCGGTGGCGCTGCCTCCTCCTGCTCCCACAGGCGCTGCGCACGGCCAGCCCCGCCCATTGGCACATCGTAGAGAACATGAGGTAGATGCAAGCAGTCTCTTCTTTGGTACAGCTGTGGTTTCGCACAAGCACGAGAGAGGTCCCCCCACCGCCCCACAGTCCAGTGTCGCCAAAGCCCCCGGGGCGGGCGCGCCCTCCGTCCCCTCCCCACCCGCTCCGCATGGGTGCCAGAGCGCAAGCGCGCCGGGCCATCCTGCCGGGCGCCTGCTCCCGGGCGGGTCCCCCTTTTCTCATGGGCCTGAGGCGTCCAGAAGGAAGTGGTATCCGGGTGGGAGGGACGGGCAAAGCCAGGGGCGAAATCGAGTCCGAAAGCCGGGGGGCAGCTGCGTGACGAGGCCCCCTGCCTCCGTGAAGAGCACCCCTCCCTGGCGCCTCACCTTCTCTCTGCCCCCCACTCCGCCCAGGGGCGCCACGCGAGTCCGTTCGCTCGAGAAGCCTGCCTCCCGCCCCTCCTGCCCGCGCACCCCATGCACCCCCCCTCCACTCTCCCCTCCCACCCCCGGCCTCCCGGGGCATCGCTTGCTCCTCCTGTCCTTCTGGCCCGATGCGCCATGGCCCCGTCCCAACGGGCTGCGGCCCCAAAAGCCGGGAGGCCTGCGATTCCGCCACCCCCACACCCGCCGCTCCCCAAGCTCTTCCGCCACCCCCTGCGGCTCAGGAGCCGCAGCAAATTCTCTCTGCGGAGGGGCCGGGCCGGGCCCAGGGCACGTGCGACGAGGGGCGGGCAAGCGGGGGTGGGCCGGAGCCCAGGGGGGCGGTGAAACGAGTTAAGCGCATGCTGTGCGTCGGGGTGGAACTGTGTGGCGCGGCCAGGAGAGGGGGGGGGCCAGGAGGGCCACGCCACCCCGCCTGCCGCCCGGCCTTGCCGAGAGCCGAAGCCGTGTCTGGAGCACAAGCCGACGGGGGCCGCTGGGCGTGATGGCGGGGCAGCCGGAAGGGGGCTCGGTCCACCCCCGGCTGACCATGCTGCCTCCCGCCTCGCCTCCTGGCCTCCACTCAGGTGCATCACCCTCCTGTCGCCTGTCCCCCGTGGCTGCGTGGCAGGCTTAGAGGGGCCGCAGCCCCGGCCGCCCCGAGCCCAGGCCCGGGCACCCGAGGCGGCTCCACTCGCTGTCCAGGTTTCCTGGCCCCGGGTCGAGGCGGCGGCAGCGGAGGCTCCTGGGCGTCCCCCTCACGGCGAGGCGCTGGCTGGAGTGTGTCCCCGGGACGCTGTGGGCAGCAGCTGGCTCTGGCCCACCGCGGGGCCCACGTGGCTGTGGGCGCCGCCAGCGCTGCCCGCGATGCCGGACCTCCGGGCAAACAGCACGCCTGTTGGGGCGAGAGAGGGCAGGCGTTACCCCGCAGAGCCCGGAGGGCAGCTTCCCATGGGGCCTGCTGCCTCCGCTTCCAGAACGGCCCCGGGCCGGCCGGCCGGCGTCCCTCTGGCTCGCTTTCCGCGCCACGCAAAGGGCGCAAGAGGGCCCCCCCCCCACCATGCGGCCTCCCCTCCCGCGGGCACGGCTCCACACTGGGAGCCCCTCTGTGGGACACTCTGGGCATGCAGCGATGGCACTGGAAGACCCCCTCCGCACCGTGCTCCGGAGTCGGGGCAGCCGTATTTGCAACACGGCAGTTCAGGGGCGGCAGGGAGAACAAAGGGCCATGTTCCCGGCTTCCCGCTGGCAAAGCACGTGGTTCCCCCCCGCTTGGTGGCAAGTGGCCCTCAGAGGGTGGGGGGGGACCCCCCAGACAGGGTCCGGCAATGTCACTGGAGACTTTGCAAGGAAATGGCGAAGGAGGGGCGTGTCAACCCAAACGGGGCCGGGGGACAGAAGAGACGGGGAGCCCAGAGGCGACTGGCGCTGTTGGGGGTGCCAGGCTGCATCGACAGCCAAAGCCCTGCTCTTGAGGGCTTCAGCTGCCCAGGAGGAAACTCAAGGCACTCTGGACGCACTCGGGGGCTCTTTTCTCATACTGAAACCAGCGCCTGCCCCTTGGTCCTCGTACCAGTTCTGCTCGCATCGCTTCTCTTTCGTCTGGGATCGCTGGCCTGCTTTGTAAAGAAGTGCCCGCCCCAGCATGGTGTTCCGGGGTGGATTTAAAAGAGCAACGGCGAGGGATTCTCCTCCCGCTGCTGCTGCTGCTCACACAGCGGAGAGCTGGCGTGGCCTGGCGCAGAAAGAGCTGGGCTGGGGAGCCGGGAGAGCCCGGCTCTGGGCCCCGGTCAGCCATGAAGCTCACAGGCTGACTTGGGGACAGCCTCTCCCCCTCAGTCCAGCCCACCTCACAGGGTCGTTGTGAGGATGGCCGGAGCAGGGGACAACTGGGTAAGCTAACTTGGATCGCTCACTGGGAGGGATAAAACTGTCGTGGGGGTGCGAGCGGCGCTGATCAGGCACTCGCCCCTTTTTCTGGGAAGCCCCTGAAGGAGGCCACTAGTGCAACGCTGGCCACGAGGCCCCAAAAAGGCAACGCGCGGGAGGCGAGCGTGCGTGTGCACAGGGCCACGGTGCTTGCAACTCGGCCCCAAGGGGCTCACCGGTGCAGCCCCTCTCCTCAGCCCCCCTGCGGCTGGGAGGGAGAGAGGCAGCGGCTTCCGACACGTTCCCGGGGCAAGCTGATCTGCTCTGAGGAGCCGGGGGGCTTGGAACGTGGGCCCTCTCCCCCCTCCAGGCGCTGCGATGAGAGCAGTGGAGATGCTCGTCTCAAGGCCCGACTCCCCAGGTGCTCCGGCAGCCTTGGAGGATGAGCAAGGTGTGCGGGGGGGGGGGGCTTGGAACAGGGGAGTTCTCAGAGACAGATGAGGGGGAACAGCTCTGAGCCCCATGATGCGACATCAGCGGAGGAGGACGGCCCAACTGGAGCTTCGGCGTGCAGAGGAGGCGTGCTCGGTTCCAAAAGGCTCCCCCCGAGAGAGGGAGCCCAGGCAGGCCCGCAAGGAGAGTACCTGGAGGTGGATATCAGATTGCCTTCCGCAAAGCAGTCGGTGCATGCCCAGAGATTCAGTCTGGATGTCTGAGCTTCTGGAAGACACTTTGGTGCATTTTGCCAAGAAAGGTCCGTGGCTTGGAATGCGTGGCGGGAGGGGCCCCGCTCCAGACACTCGTGCCGACGAGCGCCTCACACGCCGAGTGCACCGCTGTTCTCTGGGGCTGGGCGAAGGGCGAACCCGGGGGCGCAAAGGGACCCGCTGCTTCATCATGATGGATTTTATAGTAAAGACATCAGAGTGCAGGGACAGATCGGCAGCTGGGGCCACGGCTGTAACTTATTGGATTTCCTGCCTGCAATTACACAGGGCGAGCGACCCGTCTATTTACCTGTGTAGACAACTCCATTTATTTCAATTGACATGTTGATGCTGCTAATGCCGTTGGTGGACAGGTTCAATGCAGCTTCCTGTCTGTCATCTGGAAAGGAAGGAGAAGCAGAAATGCCGGGGCGGCGTGAGGAAGGCGGAGGCCGGCCGGGGGAGGCGCGGAGGGCAGCCCGGCGCCCGGTCGGTGACCAGGCCGCCCGTGGCTCGCCTGAATCGCTTTGCGCAAGGCGAGGCTGTCGGCCCGACTGAGCGGCGCACCGATTCAGGTGGCCTGCTCCGACAGCGAAGCCGCTTCAGGCGCAAGTTTAGACCGGGCAAATGCGCCGACAGCTCCCCTCATGCGCCAGGGAAATGCCGGAGTAATCAGCTTCCCCGCGGATGCGGATAAATAATTTAGAAATGATTGGAATCATTCTTGCAAAGACGCTGACGGCCACGTGTTCTACGTTGTGTAAATTCTTGGCAAACAGGAAGGAAGGAAGGACGGAAGGAGACAGACACGGATCTTTCTTGAATAAACGGACCCCGGAAAAAGCCTTCTGCACTGCTCTCCAGAGGCCCCATTCACCAAGGAACGCGTACGGACGGCCTCTCCACGCCCTCGAACTGTTTCCTTCGCTTTGCTTCCACTGGGCTGCAGGTTCTGCCACGAGCAGCCTGGCTCCAAGAGGACGCCCCACGGCAACTGGCCGGCGGCTTCCCCAGGCGTCCTGTGGCCACGGTGGCCCAGGGGGAGGGACGGGCTGCCCCGTGCCCTCTTCGCCCGCTGCTCCAGCTGAGCAGGCGGGTGGCAGCCGGCAGCTCTGCCGCTCCGCCAGGACTGGAAGGGTGGCATCCTCCCCCCACGTGCTTACACGAGGCCAGACTCCCGGGGGGTCAGGCTATCCTGCGAAGAGCCAGGATGCACAGCTGCCGGGGGGGGGACTCGGGGCAGGGGTGTTCCCAGACCCAGGCCAGGCAGCCCTAGCTTTGGCCCCACGAAGCGCCGTGAGCGGCTGGCCTGCAGCGAGGAGGCGTGCTGGCTCCTAGAAGGAAGGCCCCTCCAAAGGGAAGGGGGCCAGGCCTGCTCGCAAGGAGAGCTCCTGGAGGAGGAGACCAGACTGGGTTCAACAAACCACTCTGTGCATGCTCAGAGGTTCCCTCTGGGTGTTCTGTGCTTCTGCTCGATCAAGAACACTCTGCAAGGAAAGTGGTCTGCGGCTTTGGAATGTGCAGAGGAGGAACCCCGGCTCCCGACAGTTTCTGGATGGCGCACGGCCTGAAACAGGACACCTCCAACAGGGGATTAAAGGCACAGATCCTGTGAAGCTAACCTGGCCCTGTGCCAGGCAGGGATGTGTGACATCTCCATGTGGAAAGTGAGCCAAGCCAGGAGGAAGTCCGTGGACGCTTGCAGAAGGAAGACAGGCTGCGCAACCGGCTACATCGCTGCGGCAGCGCAAGCAAAAGCTCGCCAGACACTCAGACACAACCACATCAAAGGGGACCGAGCCCAGGGAACCTGGCCGATTCCCACCTGCAAAGAGATTCCACCCCCGAGGCCAGGTGTAGTTCTCCAGCCCAGCGTTACCTGCTCCGGCCCTTCCCAGCCAATGCAAAGCAGGTCCTGAGCAGCTGAGCCCTGGCCTCTGCCCCCGAAGGGGTCTCTCCTGCAAGAGAGTCCTGGGAGCTGCAGAGATCCCCGCCCCACATCTGCCCTTCCCAGCCTGCCCTGGGGAGGTGGCTTGAGAAGCAGCTGTGTGACTTTTCCACGTGAAGCGGCTCCTTTGCCGTCTCGCCCGCTCTCAGCTTCGTCACAGAAAGCGACCTACGCGCTCTGAATAACCTTCCCTCTCCGGCTCTAGGCAGCCTCCGGGTGGCACCGCTGCGTGGCAGCGGGCAAGAGGAAACGCGTTTTCTCCCGTTTTGCGAAGCCCTTGGCGCCGCTTCTGCTCTAAGGACGCCGGCCATTCTCCTCCGTAAAGCAGCCACCAGCCCAACGGTCCGAGGCCGCCGCAGAGCCTGCGAGCCACGGGGAGGCGGGCCCGGCGGGCGCTCGGGAGGGGGGCAGCCGTGTGCCGTGGGAAAAGCACTTGCCTCCGCGGCTGTTGATCTTGATGTTCACCGGGAACTGCGAGGCCACGGCCAGGAGGTTCTGCTGGAGGGCGTGCTGCACCAGGCGCTGCTGCTCCTCGGCCACCAGCGCCATCTTCTTCTCGGGCGGCTCGCCCGCTTCCAGCTTCTCCCGCAGCTGCTCCAGCGCGGCCGCCTGGGACGCGGCTGCCTGCGCGGCCACCAAGTGGTGCCCGGCCAGGCTGACGGGGATGGCGATGCGGCCGGGCACCGCCGCCGAGAGGATGCTCTCTTCTGCAGCGGGAAGAGCGGGCAGGTGGGCTCACTTATCCGGAGGGGAAACAGTGAGCCCCCTTGGAGAACATGGTACAGGCCAAGCCCCTCCTCTCCCCCTCCCCCTCGGCTTTCTCAGTGGGCCACAGATCTGTAGCACTGGAAGGGCCAATAAGCTGGGGGCCCACTCCCCCCAGCTCAAGCATCCCCACACAGGGCTTTCCCGCTGCCTCTGGAATGCCCGAACCAACCCAAGCTCTGCCCTGCACGTCAGGATCTCCTTCCTCCAACTGCAAAGGGTACACCAGCTTCGCCCTTACCCGGACAGACAGGGCCTGAAAGCAGTCCCCCATGCACGGGTAAAACAGAGCGAGTCAGAAGGGGTCTCCCAGGCCATCTAGTCTGACCCCCGGCTCCAGCCGGCTCTGCTCATGACATGCCCACCATGTGCGTGTCCACGCGAAATAAGATTGCTGCAATGCAGTCTGTGTGGGGCTGCCCTTGAAGACGGTCCGGCCATTACAACTGGGACAGAAGAGGGGTGCTCAGTTGGTGACGGGGAGCCCCAAGAGCGGCTCACATAACACCCACACGGAAGGATCGCCCTTGGCTGCCAACTCAGGGCGCTGGTGTTGACAGGGAAAGCCCCAAAGGCTTAGGCCCCGGGTATCTTAGGAGCACCTGGACCTGTACGTGCCTCCCCAGCCTTTGAGATCTACCCAGGGGGCCCTCCTGGGTGAGCTGCCCCTTAGGGGGTGAGAGGGATGGCCATGAGGAGGGGGAGCCGTTGCTGCAGCTGCTCCCCACATCTGGAATGCTCCCCCCAAGGAGATTCACCTGGCATTTTCCTTACATTCTTTTCGGCACCAGGCAAAAACCTTCCGTTTAAAAAAAATATTGGAATAGTTAATGCCACTTGACCTCCGTTTTGTATTTTTGCCTGTGTTGTATTGATATTGCACTTTAACATGTGTGGTTGGTTTTATTGTGCTTTCTCTTGCGACTGTGAGCCGCGCAGAGGTGCTGCGGCACAACAGAGCGGCCTGCAAATGTTGTACATATATAAGTACGCACGCCAAGAGAGCTTCTGTGTAGAAAACAGGGTGACACCGCTGTGGCCACGAGCCCCACGGGGTCTCTTTCATGGAGAGACATCCTCGGGGCCTGTGCCACTCAGAGGAAGTCCACTGGAGTGAGTGGAACAGGTCGGACTGAAGGCGGACGTGGCGCTGAGACCGCCGCTCCCTGGCATGGGCTCACTGAGGGAGCAAAGCACCCCTGGAGCCACGGGCGGACGTCCCCTCTCTGCTTGCTCGCTCTTTCGTCTGCGCAAAAGGGACGAGTTTGGCGCAGCCTTCGGTGGGCCGGGAAGGCTCCTGCCCCGTCCACGGGGCCACGTGCCTGGGTTGCGCTTTCTGTGCAACGCGCTGTCTCGACAGGCTGGTGGCGAGGGGCCCGCCCCAGGGCTGCCGCAGAAGCGGAGGGCGGCTTTCGCCCCAAAGGGCAGATCCCACTGCAGGGAAGTGGGTGTGGCCAAGGGCAAAGGGGTGGAGCCAAAGCACCAGGCAGGCCCGCCTGTTTGAACTGCGATTGATCTGCCAGGGAGGAAGCCCGCCCTTGGGGAGGCGTTCCAGCCGTTCGGAATGCGGGGAGACAGCAAACGGCCGGGAAAGCGCCGAGGCCCAGCATCCCCGGGGAAGGGGTGTGGCGCCGTGGGGGGCTCCGGAGGGCTGCTTTCTGCACAACTGGCAACGGGCCCCCACATTTATGGTGCTGTGCCTTGGAGGTGTGAAGGGACGAGCAGCAGGAGGAAGGGGAGCCTGCCTGGAGCCGGGCCAGCGTGGATTGGGGGCAGTGCCCCAACCTGCCAAGTGTCCCCACCTGCCTCATTTACGGGGCGGGGGAGCCATGTGCCACTCCCACCTGTACCCCTCCCGTGCCTCCTGGACCTGCTTCCTCCCTTTTTCTTCGCACAGAGAATCCGTTGTGGAGGAAATAACGGAAGCCTTTCCAGCACCAGATGCACCCCTGGCCCTCCGGAAAGGCAAGGGGGCACCACGGTAGAGCTCTGGATTTGGTGGTCTTCTGCCCCCCCCCCACCCACACCTTAGGGGTCTACCTGGCCAGAGGTTGCTGCCGTATTTCAAACAGTTTGGAGCCTGGTCCCTTGCAGTGCCTACAGCTTCTCTGGTCACTTCTTTTCAATGAACTTCTTTTTACAGTGAAAGCTGAAGCGACAGGGCTCTGCCCCGGAAAGCTTCCAGTCCAGCCATGGATGGGTGGAAAGATGCCAAAGGCAGAAGCCGAGGAGCTCAGGGCAGGCACTGGAACGGGGAGGAAGGGATGGGAAGGGACGTGGGGATCCCCTCGACCAAGGGAGGGGACCTTTCATTACCGCATTATAGAAACATAGAACCAGAAGGAGGCCCCTGGGCCACCTAGTCTGACCCCCGGCTCCAGCCTGGGCTCGCTAACCCTTTTCAGCTTGAAGACCAAGTTCAGTTTTGGAGAAACGTGGGGGTCGCATTCCAGTGGGGAGCAAAACCAAAGGCAAAGGGGGCCTGGCCAAATGCTCCCAAGCACCAGCATATTTTAGCTCAAAGCTTTTGCTAACATTAATGCAGGTTCGGGGGGGGGGGCAATTCACGCTTGCAGCATTGGGGGGAAAGCAGCACAAGATCTGGGGACCCACTGCTCCCCTCAGGCCTTCTCCTCGTCCAGCCGCCCCGAATGCCTCCCTCTGCCCCACTCGCTCAGCCCCCGCGCCCCCCGCCGGCCAGGGGGACTCACCTTTCTTGATGGTGTGCACGGGGCCGACCTGCCCACAGCTGTGCGTCGAGATGGTGAGGGAGGGCATGGTGATCTTGGGGGGAGACAGGACGCCCACCGGGGTGCCCACCGGGGAGTAGCTGAAGAGCGCCGTCCCGAAGGCCTGCCGCCGGCCCTCCCGCCGGTTGCTGTCGATGGCTGCCTGCAGCTCGCCGGGGGAGCTGAGCCCGCGCTTGTCGCACTCGTAGGGGTACAGGTATTTCATGTACCTGCCCGTGCGGGGGAGACAGGAGGGCAGAAGCTGAGTGCGCAGCCCGCCCCACCCCGCCCCTCTGTGGGACTTTGGGCGCAGGCCCCCTAAGCGTGAGCAGACGTGCCAGGCACCCCCCCCCACCTTGCACTGCGCCGGGCACGGTGCTCTGCTCAGGTGTGGCAACTGCGCTGGGGGGGCCCTCTCGGGCGATGGGGAAGCGGCCTCCCTCCTGGGGCGCATCCCAGCGCCCCGCCAGCCAGAGGCCGAGCCCCCCAGGCCGCCGCGGGGGTCACTCACTGGGTGCGGAGCGTGAAGGCCGCGCTGGTGATCGAGGTGGGTAGGTTGAGCCCCTTCGTGATCTCCCGCCAGATCTTCTTGTTGATCACCTCCACCAGGCCCCCTTTCTCGGTGACCAGCCGGTACAGAGTGAACAGGTCCAGCACCTGCTTGGCCATGATGGGGATCCGGTTCACGGGGGTGCCTTGGGGAGGGAGGGAGGGAGGGAGGGAGGGAGAGAGGCGGGTGGCTCTCACGCAGGCGCTCTCACGCAGGCACCTCGCCGCCAGCGCTCCGGGCGACCACCTGTGTGGGCTCAGGTCGCTAATAGCCCTGCAGTTCCCAGCGTCCCCTCACCGGCCGCGCCTGCTGCGACCTACAGGCCCCTTCCCCCTGTGCAAGCGCGGAGGAGCCCTTGCAGCGCCACAAAACCGCCCCTGCAGCCCGCTTGCGCAGCAGCGGCCGCGGGAGACCGTGATCGGCCCCTGGCTGGAGCGCCCGCCCGCCCGCCCACGACGCCCCGGTACTCGGCAGACCAAGCCGGCTGGCCAGGCTCCTAAGTGCAAGGCACTTCTCGTCTTAACCCCCCCCCCCCAAAAAAATCCACACTGACACCCAAGTTCAGCCTGGAATGAAGGGGTCGGGAGCGTAGCTAACACGAGCAAGGCACCGTGATCTGCGCGCGTGGCTTCATTTCCGCCTCCGCAGCCACGTTTTGCAGCGGCGAAGGTTTCTGGACCGTCTTCCAGGGCGGCCCTGCACAGGGAGCAGAGCAAGGCGAGCGCAGGCCGGCGAGGCGCGGGCTCAAGGCTCTGCTCAGGCTGGGTCCCCTCTGGGGCACGGCGGCTCCACTCGCGGCCTCCCAGCCTCAGCCCTCAGCCTCTCGGGTGGGGTCTGAAAAGGCTTCTGTGGGGCAGGGCCGTCTGAACGCGTGGGCCTGGCGGGCACCTGCCCGTGGGCCCCATACTAATCTGTGTATGTTAACCCTTGGAAAATGGGAAAACTTCCAGAGTTAACAGTAGTTGTCATTTTCGGAGGGGCCCCAGGACACGGCTTTGCCCGGGGCCCGTCATGCTGCTCAGATGGCCCGGCTGTGGGGCGTCAGACTTGAGCGGGGCAGAGGGCTGCGCACGTCAAAGCTTCGTGGACACGCGGAGCAGGGGACACGGGGCCTGTGTTATGGGCGGGAGCAAGACGTGGCCGATTCCACTGGACCACGGCAGCGCATTCCTAGCCCTCGCTGAATTCTCGGAGGTGCCCAGCGGGCCTTCAGGGCTCCACTCAGCCCTGTATACCAAACAGTAACAACGTATTTCAAATAAAACGACGGATCATTGTAAAGCTCCCACAGGCTGCGGTACTCAGCTTTGCTTGCAATGTGCTTTTGGTCCTCAAGGTGCCATGTGCCACCCTCGATGAAGATCACAGCAAGAATTAATGGGAAAATCAGTATTTTGGCATGGATAGAAGTGTTCTCTCCAGTAGAGGGAGACAAATCAGAGGGAAAGGATGTAAAAGCATGAACTGGGATGGTTCTAATCAGAAATTGCAGCGTCAAAAAAAAAGCACCGAGGGTTAGCCTCTGGGAAAAGCTGCGTTCCACAGAAGCAGGCCCTGCCAAATAAAAGGGCAAGCAAAACATACGTCAGTGCGCTTGAAAGAGTGAAACGAAGATCGCATCGCTCTGGGACACGATGATGTTGCCTGCATGCCGGGGACTTCCTCGAAGCCACCAGACCTTCCTCGGGCCCGTCTGGCCTTGGCCTTGGCAGAGCTTCTCGCCAAGCCATCCAGTCACGGACGACTCCGCAATCAAGCCACGTCCCCTGCCATGCCTGCCACGTAGCAGCCGCCTTCTGTGCAGCACCTGGTGCCCGGCTGGGTACCCAGACTGCGCCGTGGCACGTTTCCTGCCAGAATCCAAAGCCGGGATTTGGGCTAGAGCTGGTGAGGGAGCAGCCACCCGAGCACAGCCGCCTCCTCCCAGGTGCCCCGGACTCGGACTCCCGCTGCCTCCCGACCTCCCCCAGACTCGCCTGCCTTGGGCAGCCCGAGGGGCACGTCGCCCGCTTTAGTCATGGCCGGCTTGCCGGGTTTGTCCATCTCGTGCTGCCTCCCCCCGGAAATGTTTGCGATACTCCCAGGGGGGTGGCCAAACTCGGCCAGCCTCTGGAGGGAGGGGGGGCCCTGGGTGGGGAGGGGCTGCAGCCCTGAGAAGGCGCCCCTGAATCCCGGCCGAGGGCTGGATGGCGGCTTTGGGGCTGGGAGCCCGAGACAAGGCCTTGCTCAGCCCCCGCGGCCACCGCCCCCGGCCCACATTTTGCCAGCGGGGCCAACTGGCCCGGACCTGACTGTGACCCGCCAGCTGACGGGGGTGCCCCTCTCTCCGACCCCCCTGCACCATTAGCAGACCGGGCCTGTGTGGGAAAGCGTCTCTGGCTCCGGGGTGTGGGGTCTGCTGCACCAGGAACCAAAGCCAGCAGGCATCGGGGCACTCGGCACACGGCCAGTCCTCCCCCACTCCGAGGGCGCAAGCCCCTCAGCCACCCCCTTCTGCCGGACGCTCCCTCCCCCTCCTCTTTCCGGCCCCCACGGATTCCCAGCACGAGGCTTCCTCCCTCGAGACCAGGACACGGAGACCCTTCCAGCAGAGGGACACACTCCGCGGTGGCCCGGGGGCGGACAGCCCTGAGGGCCAGAGAAAGCCGGCCTGAAAGCACACCCACCTTTCCAGGATGGGAACCAGACAGCACAGTAGCCAGGGAAGCACGCAGCCCTCGGGGGGGGGGGGGACTGCAACCTCTGGGGAGCCCCTGGAGCCAAACTGAGCCCTCAGCCTGAGGCTTGGCCCCCCTGACCTGGGCGGGACCGTCTCCTTGGCCCGGCAGCCACCACCCACGATGCCCGGCAGAAGCGGCTGCTATGGCCCCCTGCCACCCACCGCCATCTGGCCCGGAGGGGCCCGGGGTGCCGCGGTCTGGCAGAGGACAGGGCTGTGCTGGCCCCGCTGGCCCCGCATGCCTGCGGCCCCATCCCCTGCAAGGGGCCCACCCCACCACCACATTCCCGGCTAGGGCTGTCTGGACCCTCCGCTGGTGCTTCCAGGCACCGGTCAGAATGCTGGTCCCGACCCATAAAACCCTGTACGGCTTGGGCTGGGCCAGCCGAGAGGCGGCCTTCTCCCACACTAGCCTGCTTGGCCTTCAGGGGAGGGGGGGCCCTTCTTTCAAGAGGCCACCATAGGGGCCTCTGGCGCTGATGCAGGAGAGGACCTTCTCGGTGGTGGCTCCTAGCCCCCCCCCCCAAGGGCTGGCCTCCCTTAGCAGTTCTCCCCCCGGCAAACAAAGGCCTTTCTTTGTCCCAGCGGCTCTGCAGGGTCCGATGCTGTTCTTCAACTTAATGCATTTAATGACCTTCAA